CTAATCCAACCCGTCCTCTACCTCCAACTGAGAATGAAAGAAAAACAAAGCCCCTATTACAAACATCTATAGTCAAGCAAAATGAATTCCTGCATTAGCCTTGTCCAAAAAAAACACGTTTTATTCTATACTGTGAGCCCTTCACCTCTCTCAAGAGGTAGGTAGCATGTTTCATCATCAGTCTCTGGAATCTTGACTGATCATTACAAAGATCAGAGTTTCTAATTCTTTCAAAGTTGTTTGTCTTTACCGTATTGTCTTCACTGTATAAATTGTTCTCCTGGTTCTGTTTACTTCACTCTGTATTAGTTCATACAAATCTTCCCATGTTTCTCTGAAACTATCCCCTTCATCATCTCTTATAGCACAATAATGGGTCATTATATTTATACACTATAACTTGTTCGGCTAGCTATTCCCTATGTATGGGCATCCCCTCAGATTCCCATTCTTTGCCACCTCTGAATGAATTATCAATATTTCTGTATATTGCTAGTTAGAGTTTGTTTTACTTAGTACCAATCCCCCCCCCTTAATCTATGCTTCCTTTAATTCTCCCTTCTCCCTTTTCCTCCTATTTCCTTGTTGAGTAAAACGTATTTCTGTACCTAACTGTGTGTGTGTGTGTGTGTGTGTATTTTTTCCTACTTTGATCTGTTCAGATGAGAATGGGGTTCCCTCTTTCCCTACCCCATCCTACTTATCTGTATAGATGTCTACGTACAAACCCTGATTATATGAGAAAATTTCCCCTAGTCTTCCTTTCCCTTCTCCCCACCTCCAGTGGAGCCTATCTCTTTCCATTCTTTCCCTCTCTTTCCATTCTTCCCTTAGTAACATCAAAATATAACAAAATCACTACCTGGCCTTGTATAATTAGACTTCCTCCATGACTTCTAATGATGATATGGTTCAAAAGGGACACATGTGTCATCTTCCCATATTAGAATGCAAGCAGCTTATCCTTGTTAGTCCTTTATCATCATTTGTGTTTACTTTTTTATGTTTCTCTTAACTCCTGTATTTGTACTTGGAAGTTTCTACATAGCACTAGTCTTTTCATCATAAATGCTTGGAAGTCCTTTATTAAAGTTCCTTTCTCCCCGCTGTAGGATTATTGCCAGTTTTCTGGGTAAGGTATTCTTGTCTGTAAACCTGTATGCTTTGCCTTCTAGAATATAATATTCCAAGCTCTTCATTTTCTGAGAGTGGTGGCCACTAAATCAGCGTGATCTCAACGGGGGTTCCTCAACACTTGAGTTCCTTTTTCTAACTGCTTACGGTATTTTTCCTTTGACCTGGAAGCTCTGAATTTTGACTATAATGTTCCTTGAAGTTTTCATTTTGAGATCTCTTTTCAGGAGGTGACTAGTGAATCTTTCTATTTCTACTTTGCCCTCTGATTCTAAGAGATCTGGGCCATTTTCTTTTATGATTTCTTGAAATAGGGGTCAGCCAGGTGGCACAGTGGATAGAGCACTGGCCCTGAAGTTAGAAGGACCTGAGTTCAAATCCGGCCTCAGACCAAACACTTGACACTTACTAGTTGTGTGACTCTAGGCAAGTCACTTTAACACCAATTGCCTTTAAAAAAAAATAAGAATTTCTTGAAATACAAGGTTTTGGCTCTCTTTTGGTCATGATACTCTACTAGGTAGCCCAATGATTTCATTCTCAAACTTTTTCTCCTGATCTATTTTCCAGTTCAGTTCTTTGTGCTATGAGATACCTTACATTTTCTTCTCTTTTTTTCTTCAGTCTTTTGACTTTATTTTAATATTTCTTGTTGAGTCATGCAGTTGTTGACTTCTGTTTGGTCCATTCTAATTTTCATGGAGTCCGTTGCTTGGGCAAGGTTTGTACCTCTCATACCAAGCTGTTAATTTCCTTTCCTATTCTTTCTTCCACAGCTTTCATTTCTTTGCCAATTTTTCCTTCTAGAACTCTCATTTCATTGATAAAAATATTTTTAATTCTTTTTTTTTTTAAAACTCTTGCTTCATGTCTTCCAGGAATTCTAATTGAATTTGTGCCCAAGGTGTATTTTTCTTTGAGGCTTTGCTTGTAGATGTTTTATGGTGGAATTCTTTGTGTGCTTCTCCTTCCAGCCTGCTTCCTGACTTTGGACTTGATGCTAGGATGTAGCTCTTCACACTTTGGGAACAAAGATCTGGCCCAGCCCTATGGTTGCTTTCTTGTGGGTTTGAGTGTTGTGTTATTCCAGGATCAGCTCAGGCTAGGGACCTGAAAGCTTTCAGTGCTCCCAAAGTGGTCTAATCTAAGACAAAGTCTGAATGTTGCCTTCCTGGTCTGAGTTCCACAAGCCTCTGCTTTTGAGTTTGGACCTGAGCAACAGCAGACTACCTCTGGGCTCAGCCAGCTAGGAAGCTCTGCTAGTTCTAAGGGCACAGAACCAAAGACTCACCTTTAGTCTAAGATTTGTGCCCTGCTTATTCTTGCAGGCTTCACACCGGGCTAAGAAAGGATTCAACAAAGTATAGTCCATGAGCCAAATCCAGTCCAAATCCTGCCTGTTTTTGTACAGCCCACAAGATAAGAACGATTTGCTGACCCCTGGGCTAGAGGTTGGAACAGAAACCCTGCTCTGTTTCTGGGGATCAGAATCACACTGCTGCTGTTTGCTTTTGAATATAATACTCTCAGCCCAGAATGCCACCCCTGGGTGTAGGTCTCCTTCCACAGTCAGTCCCGGATCTATGACCCAGGACGAGCAACAAAGCTGTCAGTCGGCACCTGTTCCCACACCCCAGAATGCCTTAGAATGGGTCTGGGATGTCGTTTTGTCCTAGCACAAAGCCTCTCCCTGTACTGGAATGCTCCATTTGGCCACTCCTAGATAGACATTTCCTCAGAGTCAACAGACTTCTCTGTTTCCTTATGGCAGCCAGGCTGGAAAAGTGACTCACTGTGGCTTTTTTCTTTGATTTCTCCATCCGTGTTTGGTCTGGTGCGTTTTCTGGATCTATTTGGAGGAGTTTGGGGAGGGAGCTTACTTCTCTGCTTCCTGCTATTCTGTCATTTGATTCCCTCTTCTCCACCCCCCCCCCCGCCACCCCACTACTAGAATCTTATTTGTACAAACTTCCTCTCCCTTTCTCATACCTTCACCAAGGATACAAGGATACCCTCAATATGTGTGTAAAGTATTCTCATAAAGGTTTTGTAAAAATCAGACATTAAGCATATGAGACTGTAGTCTCTGAAACATTTGTCATTTCCCCCCAAACATTTGGCGTCTTTCCT